AGAGGGGGGAGGGGTGGAGAGAGAGAGGAAGAAACAAGGAGACAGAGAGGAGAGAGAGAGAGAGAGAGAGAGAGAGAGAGAGAGAGAGAGAGGCTGTGCTGGCTCTCTGCAAATATTCATGGGTTTAGAAGGGTAAAGGCATGCAAAAGTACAGCATCATGTCAACCACATGCAGAGAAGTTACACACACACACATACATACATACATACATATATACATACATACACACACACACATACATACATACACACACACTCACTCAGAGAGAGAGAGAGAGAGAGAGAGAGAGAGAGAGAGAGAGAGTTGCTTCTTTTTAAGCATCTCTGACTCTTGAAAGCTACCTGCATTTCCAGTCTCAGACCAGAGATGGAACAGAGACCAATCTCCACATCTCTATAAAGAAAGGAAGGGGTAGACACATTCCTTCCTCCATCCTTTCTTCATTTTCTGCCCCCTCCCCCACCCTTCCTCCCCCTCCCTGTTTTCCCTTTTGTGTTGGGGATGGAACCTGGAGCCTTGCACATGCTGGGCAAGCACTTCACCACTGAGCTACATCTTCAACTCCATATCCATTTTTTTATAGACAGAAAAAATAAGGACCCCTGCAAACACAGGCTCTTGACACAGGCTAAGGATGTACCACTTTTCTTCAACACAGGCAAAAGAACTATGGACAAAATTTGCAAGTCAATTACCAGCTTATGGAATCTTACCATCTCAGAAAAACTGGAGAAAATCCTTTAAAGCACCATAAAATTAAACCCATATCTGATGTTTGGGCAAACTGCACTAAAAAGAACAACTCTTTCAGCCTAAGAGCTGGTTCTGTCCAACCTGGGTATCTTATTGAGGCATGAGTGTGGCCGGTTGTCCACAAAGACCCAGGTGACTGCTGCCACTACTGCCAGTGCACAGACCACACCTCTAGTAGTCTGTGGGTTTAGCTTCTCCCAGACTCTGCAGGTGTTAGGGCAGGCCTTCTCTGAATACAAGAGAAGGGTAGGTCTCCATGCCGGAGCAGAGAGAAGACTCACCTCCATAAACTCAGCGCTGGAGCCCACATGCTGTCTGAAGCACAAAAGGAAATTCTCTTCAGTTGGCAGGATCTGTGCCAGCTGGGAAACACAGAAAACCACATCAGTGTGAGGGTGCAGGGAGGTGGGGGGGGGAGCGCATGGACAATCAGGGAACAGAGCAGACTTTCCCACAGGAAGGATGGAAAATGGCCAGTCAATAGGAGGCATGGAAATCACATTTTCCTCCTTCATTTCCTTCCTTGTGAACACTGACTTACTGACTTGGGCCTCCAGGTGAAACACTATCTATGGCACAATCTAAAGAGTTCTGAGATAGGCCAATGCAGAAGTGGCCTCCCAGTCCCCCCCCCCCCTGTGCCCTTGGCAGTCATTCGCTCTTTATTTTTATTTGCGGTAGTATGCCACAACTCTGGAATCTCAAGCTTTGCTTCTAGAGCACCTGGTCTATGGTAGCATTTGAACCACTGTATCCTGGAAGAGCTAGGTTCTAACCCATGTGCTACCACCATCATACTGACCTCTTGACCATGGGTCACAAACCAATTATCATAGGTGACATACATATTTATATGCAAGTCTGAGTATATACGTGTGTGCATGTGTATATATGTAGAAATACCTGTAAAAATTATGCATGGAATGTACGTTATGAATGTAAATTATCTACATAAAATATATATTAAGTTTGATTTTTGGATGCCATTAGGTGGGGTGTGCACACTCCTGCTAACCAGTCTTCTCACTGTCTTAAGCTTGGTTAATCACACATTTGTACTGTCTGCTGGATCCTGAGAGCATTTAGGGACCAAACCCCAGCACATTGCTTGTTATTCCATCTTTCCTTGGGTGACACACAGAGAAAATCCCACTGGCTATGTCCAGTTGGCTCACTGCTCAGGTGAGGATGTTCCAGGCTGAGCCTGAGCGTGGGGTAGGCACAGGGAATACAGCTCTCAGCCAGTTCCATGGCTCTCACCTCTGCCATCTCAATTTTCCCATCTGAGTTCTTGTCATACTTCTGCATGAACTCCTTCATCTTCTCTCCAAAGTTGTCACTCTTTGGCATCTGTGGACAGAGAAAGGAGGCTGATCTTGCTGCCATGTTATGATGCAGAGGTGAGACTCTCAGTGAAGCAGGGCTGAGAGTCATCTCGTGACCTGGACATATGGTTCAGGAAGCAGAGGTGCCAGAGCTCAGGGTCAGGCTCTGCCTTAGAGCTCAGTCACATGATTGCCAAAGGGAGACAGGACACATGGGCATGTTCCGTACCATGTGACTAGATACACCCTTTGAACTTTGAGCTGGGTCGGTCCACAGCTCCATACAGGTTTTAGGCTTATTCCCACCACTCAGATGCTCTTAGCATAACCCAGATCAACCCAATATTCCACAATAGGTTCCAACCACTCCACCAAACCAAAATGAACCACTCACTTTCCTCTTCAAAGACATGCTGGCAATTCTGCAGTGTTCCTATCTGATTTCATGCCAAAAGGAATGTGAGGACATCACACAGCTGAGTGAAAATTTAAATCCCCTGCTCAACTATTCTGAGTATAGAAAAATAGATTACTTATTAAGAGTTCCTTCAGCCCATTACCCCTCAACTTAAACACAGTGGTCTCCTGACAGTCAGAACCTTTCCCTGAGATGTCATCTGCACCAAGGAGCTCTTTCTTCTCCTCAGTCAATGTTGCAGCCCCCACGCCATGCACATCTGATCTTCTGCTTCAGTTACCTGGGGACTTCCACTGGGGTTTCATGCTCCTTAAAGTTGGCTCAAGAGAAACTCTACACATTCTGAGAGCTTTTCTGGAGTCCTGTATCATCTTTGGCTTTGGAACCTGATCTCAATTTACTAATATTCGTCAGTCAGTATTTATTTATATTTACAAACACACAAGTTTGATGTCAAGTACTTAACATAAATGTGGGCAACTATCAGAGGTTTACCATGGTCCCCAGTTGGCAAGTCATCCCTGGATCTCACACATAAATAGAATACAAGATGCAGTGATTTTCCTCATGACCACCCAGGTAAATACAGCCAGGACTTGAAAGCCTAGCTGCAGCTCCCAAAGTCTGAGTTTTTTCTACCACATGACAGATGCTCTAAGAACCAGTCCTAGATGTCAGAAGCTGGGATTGCTATGGACAAGGCTTTTCAGGCACCCTCATGCCAGCCAAGGAAGAGAATGACTAAGAAAAGGATGGTTAGGTTTGAAACTTCATTAAACATGTTTTTCTGCATAGTCCTTGATCACAGAGTCAGTTTTGAAGCTGTGGTTCCTGAAACCTGTGCTCACATCATCTCAGTAATAAAAGCTGATGAAGGAACTGTTGACAAATACATCCATACACTACCCATAGCTCTCTTAAGCCCATGGCTTTGACATGTTTCTCGCTGGGGGTACTTGGCTGAGTATTGAGCCTGGAGCTCATACAGAGTGAATTTCTCTTAAGAAAAGATCCCAGATTTACTAGTAAGTAGTGGACGAGACAGCAAGTGGAGAGCAAGAGACAAGAGAGAGAGCCTCATAGGAGCCAAGGGGGCTTGTAGGAGAGAGCTGGCTCTATATATTCCAGACCAGACACGGACACAAAAAACCAGCTCCAGTCACTTTAGCTTTTCAGTATTTCACATGGCTCTCCCAGGATGTTTTCGCAAACTCATCAGGGCCAGGTTTGTACTGGAGGAAATAACATTTCTATAATAAGGACAGGGACATGATCTGGAGTCACTGTGTACAGGTCGGAATTCAGGGCGCCTCTGAACCAAGGGTGGACAGTCAGGGCTCAGAGGATGCTTCTGAGAAGCCCTCAGCTTTCCTCTAGGTCCTTCTGGGGAGCCAGCCTTTGTTGGTCTAGAATATTGGATTCTGTTCCCCATTTTCCACCAGGGAACATTTGATAATGTCTAGGATGATTATTTTAAAGACAGGGTCTCACTATATAGTCCTGGCTGTCCTGGAACTCACAAGGTGGACCATGGTAACCCCAGACTCACAGAGATCCACCTGCATCTGCCTCCCAAGTGCTGGGATTAAAGGTGTGCACCATCACATCTAACTTAGGACATGTTTATTCCCAGAAACTTGGCTATCTCATGGGTGGATGCGAGGGTTTGGCTAAATACTCTACAATATTAGATGCCTCTCAAAACAAAAATTATCCAGCCTCCAATGTCAACAGTGTTGAGACTGAGACATTTTTCATGTAGACTGCAGATGTCCGGGGTTCTTTGAGAAAATTGTAAACCCTCTGGGACTCTGGGTTTCGTCCCCAGGACAAAAATATATACATAAACAAATAACTGTATAGTTTGGGGCATTCGTCAACTCTTGGCTTTCATGATGGTTATCTCTCTAAGATAACCCAGTCTCCCAAAGAGACTGAGATGAGATGCTCTTGGGGGAAACATAGATTTTCTTTATATCCTCACAAATGAAAAGATGTTAAGTGTCAAGACCAGGGAGACCCCAGGTCTTCTGACTGGATGCATCACGAGACAGACCATTCTCAAGCCTAGCTAGTTGAAGACCACAGAAAACCCTAAACATAGGGGTGGAGTGAAGCCTTACCATGCCAGAGCCTTTCCTCGCCTTCTCCAGCTCTTGGAAGAAGTTTTCCAGCTCTTTACCTTCAATGTAACCATTTCCTGTAAAGACAGATGCAAACAAACAAAAGAGAATTAACCTTAGAGCCGAATGGCAAGACTAAGGGAAGGAAGAAGACACCAACGTCATGGAAAACTTTGCCCTGCAAATAGGTATCTTGACCAGTCATGTTAAGCATGGATCCTTGTCCTCAGAGAACTTGCAGGTGTATGTGCAAAATTAGTAATAGATCTCCTTGGAATATTCAGCAGCTGCAGAACACTGGACGAACACACATGTGGTTACCTGGAAGAGATGGCTGCTGTTCATAAGCAAGCCCTGAGTGCTGGGGTCCCTCAGGAAGTGTCACCTGCATCAGGATTTGCCAGCAGGTGGCAGACCTGGAACTGGGGGAGAAAGTAGAGTTTCTGGGCTTGAGTGTTCTTCCAACATCTACCTGGAACTTTAGAGTGTGACCTTATTTGAAAATAAGATCTTTATGGATGTCACTTGTGTCATCCATAGGGAAGGTGTCAAGGCATAGGGAAGACAGAAGTAGAGATAAGAGTGACATATTTCCAAGCTAAAGGCTATTGTAGATTTGCTGCTGCCTCTAGAAGCTGAGGCATATAACAGAGTCTCTCCTTCAAAGCCCCCCTCCAGCCCCCTCCACATCTTGATTTCAAACTTCTAGCCTCAAGAACTAGAAAGGTTTTCATCTCTGTTGTGTTAGGTTACCCAATCTGTGGCACTTTGCTATGACAATCCTGAGAAACAAAATGTAGAAAGAAACCATGGAAGAAAATGATTGAATCCATTTCATCTGCAGACTGGGTTATTATAACGAAATAGTTCTGCTTGTGGTTCTTTGAGACAATGTCTCACCATGCAGCCCTTCTACTGTTTTTGCTTCCCAAGTGGTAAGATTTTAGTTACATGGATTGCAGGAAATTTTTGGAGAGAGAGAGAGAGAGAGTACATATGCATATGTATGTATGTGGGGGCTGTGTGCAGCCATGTGTGCATGTATGAAGACAAAAGGCCAATGTTATGTGTCTTCCTCTGGTGTTCCACCTTACTTTTTGAGACAAGGACTCTCACTGAACCTGGATCTGATTATGTTGGCTTGATCAGCTGGACAGTGGGTTTAGAGATCTTCCTGTCTCTCCCTCCAAGTTCTGGAGTTAGGGATAAGTACAACCACATCTAGCTTTGCCATGAATACTGGGGATCAAACGCAGGTCCTCTGCTTTCTGCAGCCATCTCTCCAGCTGCTAAGTGGGAGTTTTGTGTGCAAATCACACAGTCTATTATGAGTGTGTCACAAGTGTCAGTACTGTTTAAGCCCAGTTATCAGCATCTGTGTACAAGATGGGAAAGGACCTAAGGAAGGAGTGCAATGATCAGAACCAGCCTTGAACGCCAAAGCCTGACTTGTCTCAAGATCACATAAATAGTGACAGGTCGTATAGGTTCTTACAGCCGGAGCCCGAGTGACCCAGGTGCCAGTGCTGGCTGAGTCTATGGTCTGTGCACTTGCAGGAGGGAACTCAGACAGGGATAAGGCAACAGTTTCAGAATTTACTGCATATAGGAATCTCTTGAGGATCATTAAAAAACTATGGATGTCTGACTCTCACCATTAGACATTCTGATACCACTAGCTCAGGGTGTGAACTAAGATTGTGACTTCTTTTTTACTTCCCTGTATAGCAACGTCAGTCAATCACTAAAGTCGAGTTCCAAATCTGATTGACAGCAGGAGAGCAAGGTCCCCCTAGAGGTGGTCCAACTTGAATAGTTAAGAAGAAGGTGGTCACGTTCTTCAAGGGCATATGGAATTGCAGACATACCAAAAGAACAACGCAGAAGCATTTGCCTTTCCCTCTATGGGTACCATGGGAATGGGAGGATCTTTCTGGTCTCTCTTCCTAGTGTCCCTGAGGTCTTAATTCCCAAATAAATAACCTTGAAGGCCATGCTTCCTGGAGAAAATGCTTCAATAAATATTGTGCAGAGAGAATTGCATGAGATGAATTATGCATTTATTTTTGTCTGCAAAGAAAAGGTGATTACTGGGTTCCTCTGGGACGAGGCACTTGTCTTTTTCTTCTAGGATGTTCTACAGAGTTCTTGGGGAGAGTTGGGAATTCACAAGAGGGTGGGGCTTGTTGACTAGCTGGGGTGAGGTGGGGTGAACTGGAGCTTTCTAGGCAAAGAGGCAGAGGAGTTGGCACCTAGTGGCTTTTCTCTCCTGCTGTGACCTGACTGTTATCCCATTGCTTAGGTGCAGCTTCCCCTTGACTAAGAGCACAAAGTCTTAGTCTCTACACTCTTTCTTCTCTTCGGAGGGTTTACAGAGTTAGGTAGCCATGGGAAGCTGAGCTCGGCTCTGAGGCCATCTGCAGCTTCCAGAAGCCCAAGGCTAGGGTGGGTGGAATGGGGGGCTTAGAGCTGGTACTATGAGCATGGATTGGAGTTCATGATGTAGAGGTCACAGGGGCTGCGGGCAGGAGCCCAGGTCAGGTATGTGGGTGAGTGTGTGTTTCTAGGAGTAGTAGAAGGTGGCTAATGGGAATTGGAACAAGAGGCAGCCACACGGAGAAAAATAGCCCTCACTCAGCTCTGCATAGCATCCCTTACCAAAAGCCCTCACCTGGGTCCTGCTTCACACGGCCTGTGACGCTTGGTCACTTCTCCAGCCCCTTGACCTCATGCCTGTGGAGCTGGCCCTTCTCATCTAGGGATCAGCACCTGTTTCTCTCCTGTGACACCCAGACTGTGAGCATCACCTCTCTGAACCTCCATTTCTTCAGGCATAAAATGAGAATAATGATAAGCCTCCTCCCATGACTGCTGGCAAGATGCAGCTGAAGAACAATGAACTTAAGGCACCGGCCCACACAAGCCTCACGAACACCAGTGCTGCAGGCATGGCGTTGGCCCACAGCAGCACTTGGGAGGCTAAGGCAGGAGAATCAGGAGTTGGTCCCTTGACGAGAAGGGCCAGTAACTTTGTCAATATAAGCCTGAGCTCCAGCCGGGCGGTGGTGGCGTATGCCTTTAATCCCAGCACTTGGGAAGCAGAGGCAGGCAGAGATCTGTGAGTTCAAGACCAGCCTGGTCTACAGGAGCTAGTTCCAGGACAGCCTCCAAAGCCACAGAGAAACCCTGTCTCGACAAACCAAAAAAAAAAAAAAAAAAAAAAAAAAAAAAAAAAGCCTGAGCTACATAGTGAGTTATTGGCTAGTTGAATCTATGTACTGAGACCCTATCTTGGAAAAACAAAAACAGCAAAAGAAAACAAAATGTGTCAGTCATCATCACCACCGTGGCTCTTGCCCCCACTCCACATTGGTTTTGGACTACCAGTTAGGATGTAATGGAAGAGAGGTGGTTCTCCCCAGGACCGTTGGGCAGGATGGACAAGAAATAATTTCCCAGGCAATCGGAAAGAGGAAAGAGAAGAAAGAGTAAACTTAGAGGCAGGGAGAGGGGGCCAAGAGCGGAGATGGTGGCTTTGCACAAAAAAGCCCCCTTCCTGGATACTGAGAGCAGCAAGGGGGTTCCCACACACCTTCTGAGGCATGATAAGAATCTCCTCATACACCTGAACAAAAGGAGAAAATTTAGCTCCATGCAATGAGCCTTTATGTTTCATACTGAACAACAGCTCCAAGCTGCAGACACGGGCCTGTTCCCAAAAAAAACATAAGTATGGTTCACAGGGATGTGACCAGCCTTGAAAACGTCAGACAAACCATTGAAAGGGCAGAGTGAGAAGTAGGGAGTGAACACACAAGTGGGGTCCAGAAGAAGGGTTCCCACCACTGGGGGGGGGCAGACCTTCCTTCTAAGGCCACCACCAACCATCATTTAACAAGCTCTTTTATGGAAGGCTGGGGTGCAGGAGCAGTTGGTCAACATCCTTCTAGGAAGATTTAAACCCTGGGCGAGAGGCTTGCTTTTTTTCTGTGACCTTGTTACGCTTGGTGGGGAGGGGGCAAGCAAATCTCATGTGGATGGGCATTGATAAAGATGTGGTTACCATAGTAACCATCATTACTAACTTCCTTCCAACCATGAACACGAGGGAGAGGGGGCTGCAAGGGAGCTGGGGACCTTGCATCCTTCCCGAGCCTCTTTTTGTTTCTGTATTTCAACACCGTGTACCCCAAAGCTAAGGACAGGCAACATTTCATTATCATTAATCTGGCCACAGAGGATTGGAAATTCTTGACTGAAGGATGCTGTACCCCAGAAAGGTTTATTTGTTCCTCCCTGAGGTTTGAATGTACAGATTTTTCTGAGATGATCCGGCAAGAGGTACCCACGGAGGAGGAGGGACTGTACCGCCTCTTTCACAACTGTCCTTTGCTCTAGAACAAGTCAACTCCTCTGTGCCTCGGTTTCTCTCTCAAGAGGCAAAACTGCTCAAACCCTTTCTACTTTATGGATTCATCATGAGAGCCACACAAAGTAATGTTTGGAAACATCCTGGGAGATGTAACATCTCCTATAAATGAAAGGCATCATGTTTCATCTCCTCACATCCTCAGCCGTAAGGGTTTCTGACAACCACTGCTCTCTTGAGTGCTGGTCCTCAACTGGAACCTTGGGAAGCTTTGACAACGATAACATTGCCTGTGCTCTACACCAGGTTTTCTGATTTAATTGATGGGGTGCGGGTGTCTTCCAAGCTCCCAAGGCTGGCAGTACATCTCAGACATGGAGGTATATAGCCATTACCTGGGGATCTTGTTAAAGTGAAAAGTTTAGTTTGGTAGCTTTTGAGTAGCATGGAAGAGCTGTCTGTGCCTGTGTGGTATGGGACTGGTGGTAACCTAGGAGCCGGTTAGAAATGCAGAATCCAAGAGCCCATCACAGTGGTAGAATGCTTACAAAGCATATGTGAGATATTAGTTTTAATTCCTAATCCCCACTCCCCAAAAGGGCAGAATCATAGCTCCCTCCCTCAATGTTCTGAATCTCTTGAATGGGTGTGGTGCCCTTGGATCTGTTTTAAGAATGCCACAGGTGTTCTCTGATTTCATGTAGTTAA